CAAAGATTTTCTACGTACCAGTAAGATTTATTTATAATTTAACTAATTAATATTATTTTTTTTAATTAGGGATATTTTATTAGAACTTGCTCACAAGCAGTTCTTAAACTTGCAGAACATGCTGAAAAAAAACGAAAAATTTTTGCATTTAATTTATCAGCTGAATATATTTGTGAAAAATTTGGCGAGGAGATTATGAAATTATTACCTCTTGTGGATTTTCTATTTGGTAATGAACAGGTAGATTATTATATAATAAGTTTTTCGTTATTTTTATAGTTTGATTTTTTAGGAAGCAAAATGTTTTGCTCAACATCATTTGAACATCGATGTATGTTGATAATAAATATATCATTTAGATTTAATCATAGAATTTCTTTCTGCTATATATGTACATTACATTGATATAATTAAATTAACGTTAGACAATTATGTATGAAATTATTTTATTTAGACGAATACCACTATAACGCATATTGCTGAAGAATTACAAAAGAAGTTAAGCAAAAGTACTGATACATGTGTGATAATAACTCGAGGTGCGGATTCAATTGTATTAGCATCAAGTAATGTACATATATCAAGTATGTTATTCATGCATTCTTGTTTTTTTGAAATACATAGAAAATGGTGTGAAAATGTTTACTGTTAAACGACCACCAAAAATTATTGATACTATCGGTTGTGGTGATGCATTCGTTGGAGGTATGAATATATTTATTTTGTAATTAATTATACCAATCATTGTTGTTTAGGTTTTCTTGCATATTGGTCATTGAATACATCCATCGATGATTGTATCAATGCTGCATGTTATTGTGCATATGAATGTTTATTACAGACAGAATGTCAATTTTCAAATCCTTCTTCTTTTAATCCAACAAAACGATATTGTAATGTTTAATACTAACTGAGTAGTATAATTTTAATTAATTCATTTTTATTATCTCAATAAATATTTTTCTTTATGCATGTAAAATACATATGAGAATTTCCTTTGCTTCTTCGACTTTTTATTTGATTGTGCAGGTGAAATACTGATTAAAAAAATGGATTTTTCTCATACTAGTACATTACAAGAATAAAGATAATAAAGGAAGGAAAAATACACGAAATTCTTTATTCTCAATCGAAGAATAACAATGAATTTTTTTACAGCTTAGAAAGGTGCATAACGGAAGCAATATGATTTGTATTCATATTTTGGCAGTAACACGATGAATGCTACGATCGGTCATAGTACGTTTTGGATGGTCAATAGGTAGAAGTTTATCATATATAGTCAATGCTTGCTTATAACAATCAAGTGCCATCAGTGGCTTGTTTTCTTTCTCGTAACAAACTGCGATATTACTGAAACTATCAGCAATTTCGATATGATCAGATGAATAATATTTTTCGTACATATCAAGTGCTCGTTGATAGTAACCACGAGCTTCATCATATCGTTTTTGATTATCAAGAATAAAACCAATATTATTTAGACTTTTAGCAATCTCTGTATGACCAGATGGATGATATTTTTCTCGAATTTTTAATGCTTGTTGATAGTAGTTAAGAGCTTCACTGTATTTTCCTTGATCATCATAAATCCAAGCAATATTGTTTAGAGTATGAGCAATATCGACATGACCCGATGGATAGTATTTCTCTTGTATTTTCAATGCTCCTTTATGATAGTCACGAGCTTCGTCGTACTTCTTTTTGTTTCCAAGGGCACAACCAATACCGTTCAAACTTCGAGCGAAACAGAAATGTCCTGATGGATAACATTTCTGTTGCATTATAAGTGCTCTTTGATGATAATCGAGCGCTTTATCGTATTGTTCTTCTTTTCGTAATATATCTCCTATACTATTGAGAGTCCAAGCCATATCAATATGTCCCGATGGATAAAATTTCTCTTGCATCTTAAATGCTCGTTGATAGTAATCAGTAGCTTTGTCATATTTCCGTTGTTGACTAAATATACGACCGATATTGTTTAAAGTTCGAGCAATATCAGTATGATTACATGAGTAAAATTTCTCTTCTATTTTTAGTGCTCTTTGGTAATAGTTTAGCGATTCATCATATTTACCTTGTTTTCTTAATATACTACCAATACCATTCAAAGTCCACGCAATATCAACATGACCATTTGAATAATATTTTTCTTGTATATTCAATGCCTGTAAATAGAAATGAAGAGCTTCAGTATATTTCTTTTGTTGACGAAGAGTACCACCAATTCTATTAAGAGTCCAAGCAATATCAACATGACCAGATGGGTAATGTTTCTCTTGCATTGTAAGTGCTTGTTGATAATAATCTCGAGCTTCATCATAATTTCCTTGTTTATCAAGAGTAAAACCAATATTATTTAAACTTCGAGCAATATCAACATAACCAGATGAATTATATTTCTCTCGCATTTTTAATGCTCGGTGATGATATTCAAGAGCTTTATTATATTTTTTTTGATGACGAAGAATAGTACCAGTATTATTTAGAATTTGAGAAATTTGAATATGATCAGATGGATTATATTTTTCTTGAATTTTGAGTGCTCTCTGATAATAATTGAAAGCTTCTTCATACTGTCTTTGTTCATCATATATCCAACCAATATTATTAAGACTCTTTCCAATATCAACATGGCCAGATGGATAACATGTTTCTCGAATATTTAATGCACGTTGATGATAATCAAGAGCTTTATCATACTTTTTTTGATTGCCAAGACTACAACCAATGTTATTAAGGGTTTGAGCAATATTGATGTGATTAGATGGATAATATTTCTCTTGTATTTGCAGTGCTCGTTGGTAATAGTCAAGAGCTTCCTCATATTTTTCACGCTTTCGTAGTATATCACCAATGTTGTTAAGTGTTGTAGCAATGCCCACATGATCAGATGGATAATATATTTCTTGCATTTCGAGCGATTGTTGATAGTATTCAAGAGCTTCATCATACTTGTGTTGTTTTTTCAGTATACTTGCAATGTTATTAAGATTATGAACAATATTCATATGACCGGATGGATAGCATTTCTCCAATTTTTTCAATGTTTCTTTATAATAATCGAGTGCGTCATCATACTCTTCTTGATCATGAAGAATGCTACCAATATTAGTGAGTATATAAGCTGAATCTTTAATACGCGGTGGTTCAGTATTTACCATTCGATCATTTGCACGCAGATAATATTCTCGTGCTGCTTCCGATTCACCTTTGAAATCAAGAGCTCGACCAATATTAAATTCAATCCAAGCAATATCTTCATCATTCGGATTTTCTAATAATTCTCTAAAGTATTTTTCACTTTTATCATATTCACCTAATTTACACATTAATCTTCCAAATATAATATGAACACTTTCTTCTTTTGTTTCACGTTGTACTAATTCAATATAATTTTTAGTTATTTGTTCTCCTTCATTTGATGCTTGCATCCTAATTACATATACTTCACCATCTCTGCTCATAGATTCAAGTCGAAAAGTAATATTCAAATCAAATAGAATTTCTTTTTCTTCAGGATATTCACTAAATTGTGCAACATCAGCAAATATTACATTTTTACGTTCTTCTTCAATGTTACATAGAATCTCAAATACAACAGGAATAACATCTGTTCGTTCACTTGATTTTAATGCAAATGTAAATGCATATGAACGAAGTCGACTTGCTGATAAATATCCATTTATTGACATTAATTTACCTTGATTATCCTGGAGTTTATCAAATTCTTCTTTATCTAGTTGTATTCCACGATAAACAGTTAATGTTCTTTCATAAGATGATAACATTTTTACATGTTCACAAGCAAGATTTGCTGAAAGATCATTAATAAAGAAACGAAACATGTATAATTGATCAATATCTTTATTTCTCAAAGCTTTGTTAACTAATTTATAAATAAATGATTGTTTTTTATACCAATGAATAGCATCTTCTGGTTTATAACTACGTTCAAAGTCCTTAATTAATGCTAATTCTCTTAAATTTCCATTATAATATTGTCGACAAATCTCAACCATATGTTCTTTTGCATGTAAATCATCTGGTAACTGTCCGATAATATAATTAAATAAATGAAAACAAATAAATTCAGCTGATTGTTTTGTTAATTTTTGATCTTGACTAAAAAGTGTAAATGTTAATATTTGTTTATAAAAAAGATCAATTTGTTCTCGTATAGATTGACATAATGTATAAAGATCAGTATAGATATCAATAATTTTTGAATAATCATCCATTAAATATTCATATTTATCTTTTTTAATGCAAAAGATAAAAATTGAATGAATTTGTGATAGATGAGAAATACGTGATAAAATTTGTGATGCTTGTAATCCTGAAGTGATAAGAAAGATTTTTTCTTTAATAATAGATTGAATGAATGTAATACAAAGTTCAAGATCTGTATAAAATATAACAAAATCATTGACAAGACGAAGTTGTTGTCTTGTAATATCTATATCTTGATCTAAGTTTATATATGGATCAAACCATATAACGATTGTACTTTCTTTATTCTCAGAGGGTCCTATGGTAGGAGATTGATTGATTGATGTTACCATGTTTAATGAATGACTGTAAGTTTTATATTTACCGTTAAATCGAAAAATTAGCTGTTTAGATGAATAATTCGTCGATTTTTATTAGAAAAACGAGCATTTTCTTTGTTTTTGTTGTGTTTAGTTGAAATAATACATTACTCCTATTGCCATCTTTTGTTTTTTTTCTAAAGGTATTGTTTCGTTCTGTTATTTTTTTGAAGAAACTACTAACAGTTAATAAATTTGTTTACTCTCTCTGTAATTTCTTTTTTTCTTGTTTTATTTAACAATGTCCGTTTAGTTTATCAGCAGCTAACAGAAATTATTTTCTAAATTTATCTTGAGTTAATTGAATTGTTCATTGAAGAATCTATTTAGTTTTGATTATCTCTACTTGTATGCTATTTTAGTAATGACATTTACAATGCCTTCTTTGAAGTTTATTTTTAATGTCTGTAGACTTTTAGCATATTATATATGAACATCGAAAAAAAAACATCGATTTTTTAATCGAAAATGTTTGTTGATCTTTTTGTTTGTTTAACATCGTAAATTTT